CAACTATTTGAAAATCTGGAATCTGAGGGTGCAAAAAAATCTAAATATTGAGAAAATCATCTTTAAAGTTGTCCAAATGAAGTTCTTAGCAATGCATATTACTAATCAAACATTAAGTTTTGATATATTTACAGTAGGACATTTACTAAATATCTTCATGGAACATGATCTTTACTTAATATCCTAATGATTTTTGGCATAAAAGAGAAATGTATAATTGTGACCCATACAATGTATTGTTGGCTATTGCTACAAATATCCCCCAGCGACTTAACACTGCTTCTGTGCTGCAGGGACACACATGAAACGAGACTAAAAGTCTTAAAGGGGTCATAGGATGCCCATTTTCCACAAGTTGATATGATTCTTTAGGGTCTTAATGAAAAGTCTGTAACATAGGTTGGTTAAAATTTCTCAATGGTAGTGTAAAAAAACACCTTTTTTACCCCGTCAAAAACAGCTTTTTTCAGGTCAAGCCGTTTTGTAGCATTTTTCTTTAAATGTTAATGAGATCTGCTGACCCCGCCCCTCTCTTCCGAGCCTCTCTCTGAGGGACTGTTTACTTTAGCCGCATTAATCGTGAAACTCGCTAATTAGCACATTATTAGGAAAGGCGATTTGCAAAGATTCCTTAAAAAACCTTATACTCACTTCTTCTGTAGGTGAAGCTGGATCACGAATGATTCGCGCGAACATAGACGCATTTAGGTAGATCGGGGGTGCATTGTTTTCAAAAACAAACGTAATCCACTGCTTCTTCAGCGGCTCAGATGTCGGGAATAAATGACGGCTGCTATGTTCATTATTACCAGTGTTGGGCTGTAACTAGTTACTAGTAACTTAGTTACTGTAATAATATTACTTTTTGCAGTAACTAGTAGTGTAACTAATTACTAATAAGATTTCAGTAATAATATTACAATTACTATCCATAAAACAGCTTAGTTACTTAGTTACTTAGTTACTTTTGATGCTTCAACCCCGCTGATTTAAAATCCAACAATCAAATAATTCCTAGATTTATTTTCATAATTTTCACGACTCGCACATGGATCTGATGTCCCCAGTGGAGCAGACAAGCTTGGAATATGTAAAAGCTTACATTCAGCAGATAGAAATATTGCATTATATTGATTTTGTCAGGAAAAAAAGATGATCTGAACACTGTTGTGTAAGTTGTGGCTTTACTTTACTCTGGCATTACATCCCACCCACACCCCTCTGATCAGCATGTGGTACTTTATATAATTTAAAATCTTTTAATTATAACCTAACTACCTAATCCTAGGGTTAGGGTTAACCCTAACCTTACCCCTACCCCTACCTAACTACCTAAAGGCACACCTTTGTACCTAAAGAGTCCATATTGGTACCTTACCTAAAGTGTACATATTAGTACCTAAAAAGTCCAAAAGTGTCCCTTTTGAAAAGGTACCGCCCCAGTGACAACTTTTGTACCTTTTTTGTACAAACTTATGTGATTTGATAAAATACATAATGAAAGCTTCAAGCTACACATGACAATAAATGAGATTAATACAACACTTCTACTTGAATTTCACTATCAATCACTATTGAGTGTTTGTAATAATTTCTGACTGTGATCCAGTGTGGATTTTGGTCAAATGATGAGGCAGAAATATGTTTTTAGTAACATTCTAGAATAATTTTATGTGGAAGATACACAGTTACAACTTCTGTGGGGCGTGAAGAAAAAGTAATGTAACTAGTAGTGTTACTAATTACTGTTGCCAGCAAGTAATAAGTAAAGTAACAATAATACTTTTGAAAGGAGTAACCAGTAATGAGTAATATATTACATTATTTGAGTAACTAGCCCAACACTGATTATTATATCCAATAAAAAACACCTCAGATTGATGACAGCTCACTCAGGGCGGGTCTAAGGTAAGACACCAGTCCAGTCTGTGCTGAAACGCTACTGTCAATCAAACTATCGTGGGCGGGGCCTGTTTTTGTGACATCACACAGACAAAAAGAAGCTGAGATCGGCAGTTTGATTTGAGAAACTACAAAGCACAGTATGGTGATAGTAGCTCATGATCTGGTGTTTGTCTCAGATCCACTCAAACAGCAGTAAATGCCACAGTGTATAACAAAGTCAGCTATAAATATTGGTATTAATATTGTAATTTTACAGTTATACTTTAAAATTAAATTG